CAGTACAATCGTTGTCGCTAATATTAGATGCATATGTTATGTTTGCTAAGTACACGAAAATGTTACATTTAGCTCAGCTACTGATCACGAGATGACACTACTATTCTTTTAAAACGGGATTTAGATCTTTGTTATGTTTGTAATCTTTATTTTTTCTGATTTTTATCAAACAAAGTAGATATCGTTTTTAATTTTGCGGTATTTACAATAACATAATTTAATGGGGAATTATTAATCTGGCGAAATAATAAAATGCTACAATTTGCTGCTTTCGTTAGATGACGCTGTGTTATAAAAACTGGCATGTTTGTTTGACTTAAAATACTATGTAACTGTAGGAACCGTTATTATGGAAAGTTTGGTCCTACAGTGATGATGGAGACAGCTGGCAAGGGAGACCAAAGGATAATTGTCTCCCTCCGAGCTAGGTGTTGTTAGCCCGGGGACCGCGGTCCAACCAATGAAGGTTGGACGTTCTATTTATGCTAATTGGTAACTAAACTTATTGTGGGCAATGAAGGTTTCTTTGTTCTAATCATAGAGAAGATTAATTGCCTTGCAGTTATTAATTTATGATGTTCGTATTGGTACAGCGCCATCTCGTTACTGGGTGTTGAAACTTCTTGCAGTTCGTCTTGCTATCGATTGCTGTGACGATGTTAGTCTTCTCGCTATCGATTGTTGTGGCGATGTCAGTGCGATGAATTTAATGTCGCTACATATCAGTCGCCACATAACAAAAACATATTGATAACTAGCTGTGACTGCGATTTCGTCTGCGTGGGAAAGTATATTAAGAGAATTCTTTCTTTCCTATGGTTGGGATCGAATCGAGTGGGATCAATGGTCCATAACACACTACGCGGGCCCAATGCGAATTGGTGGGTGTTAGCAACTGCTGATGCAGCCAGGACCAACAGCTCAAATTACATGCTAATGCAAAGTCCGAGCTTTTTAAGCGATCGACCGCATTTCTCTATCAAAGGTAGTTTAAGATTCAATACTGCATACGTTTTACGATCAGCATTGAGACGTGCTAAGTTATCTTCAGAGGTTTTCTGAGATCAAACGCTTGCTGCATGGCTTCTTTGAGAGCTCAAGATATTTTCCCTAACAATGAATGCTCCAGATTCAATTTGATAGCTCATGCAGAGCGTCGCGATGGGCATTTAAATACGCTTATCTATAAGTAATACTATAATCGATGTGTATAATAATCGAATCGGCACATCATTATTCAAATCTTTTAGTCTAATAGCGATTGCGAATTTAAACTCAGACCTAGGCTTGCAGAAAAAGTATCGATGTATCGATACATCGATATTTTAATACATTATATCGATATTTTTTACCGATATATATTGATCCGATGTATCGAAATATTAATCTTTACGACAAATAATGAAATACGGGTTTTTTCTTTTTATGTCGTTTAGAACAAAAATGTTGAGTTATATCGTCACCAAGTTATTTTCAAAAAACCTACATTTGTGGACGCTCTCGCTGCCCAGTACGTGCGCTTTACGCACTACGTTGCACTTACCCCTCCCTCCCTTGCCGCAATTCATTGATAGTAATAATAGCAGCTACCTAAAATGTTTTCGTTTTGTCATGCTTGGGGAAATGATAAATAAAGTTGAAACCTCTTCATACTTTTACGGGCTTAGGACCGTCAAATTGCCTAAATCCTATTAGATACCTACTATTACAATAGCTATACTGCTTAAAATTTATAAAGTAAGTAGGTAAGTAAATATCGAGTTACCTAAAATTCTGTTTAGTTAAACCAATTCAAAGTAGGTACTTAACTCGCTATTCTTTTGAAATCAGGCGTATTTAATCAACTTTATGTACATAATCAACTAATCAATTTACCTACCTACTTTACCTTATATACTTTAACTTATATACTTTAATAATCTAGGCTACAATTAAAATCCAGATCGGTTTTGGCAATCCACTGATGTTTTCTTCATGCAGGTACCTCTTTTTCTCATAGAGTAAAAGAACTGAATCTTTCGTCGAAGTGCACAAATGTTGCAGTTAACCATTTATTTCTTAGGACAACTATCTATGTTTCCCAGGGGTTTCAAATATGCCACCATTTTTATAGCCTTCATCTACAATACGTATCACTATATTCTCTGATTTTCCTGAAAGTAAGTTTTAAAAATGTAATACCTATGGGTATTTGGCAAAAAGGATGGAATCGCCACAATGATCAAATTAATGCTATAATTTTAGTAATATAAAGCACAAACTTTTTATTGACGTACGTAGGTAAAAATCGTACATTACTAACAGATATATTTTTTATTCGGATTAAAATCAATGATAAATTTGATTATCCAAAAGTATTAAAAGTTCGGGCCGCACTACAATATAGTATTCTAACCTATAAATGCATAATGTAAACAATACTTATTTTAGACTTAAATTCATATATTTAGTAAATTTGAAACTACTGGTAACTAAAACTCAATCAGTAACACGATTACATACCAGTCATAACTGCCGTTCGAGCTTTAACATCCTACAAATATGATAAAATGTGTCCAGCTTCTTGTTCCAATGAACATCACTGAAAAAATTTATAAATAATATCCTGAGCTTCACTCCGATTAATTCTCTTCATTTTTAACACTTTTCTACGGAGTTTAGAAGAAGTAGCTTCAGTTTAATCAAAACAAATCAAAAATGCAGAAAATCGAGCTAAAAAATCAAGTTGTTGACAGTCGATGTACTTTGATTCAGTGTTGTCATACTTGTGTCTAATGTTAGTTCCTCAAACATTCTTTTCATGACTTTATAGACAGACTGTACACGTTGGTCTCCGTCGATCGATATCGTTTTTTCAATCGATAAGAATTAGTATGCCGTTTCAATTACAACATGTATTCGATGCAACTGAAATTATGTCTTCCATCACTAAATTAAGATCGTGACGTCATGATACCTACACAAAATGTGGCACGCTCAAAGATTACAATATTATACGTAGCTTGCTACATATTTAGTGATCTGTGTTATTATTTAGTGATTATACGGCACGCTCGGTCTCCATATAAATCGACGAACATTTTCCTTCTAACTAGATTTATTTCTGTGGACATAACCCTTTTATAGTAAAATACATATCATCGCTCTTAAAATGAGTCGCACAAACTATGCTGCGCGAAGTTGGATTCCATGAAGGTTCATTTCGACTATTACAAATGACTGAAATCCACTCTCTTTCACTTTTTGATGTCGATTTGGAAATCTTAAAATTAATGCAAACCCGTTTAGTATAAATAAAGAAGTAAAAAACCCATTTTTTATTTATTACTTCCTTATTCTAACACTTCAATATCTGTGATCTGGATCTCTATGTAGTATTTTCAATGCAAAATTTATTAAATATCATTTCCATACTAACAAGAAACAATTACATAACGTAATTTGTGTTTTGTTAGAAATAACGCGTTATAAAATTAAAGGTACTTAATTTCGGGGTAAATAATAACGTTTAACGATGGTAATATTTGGCTGAGGTTTTGTGTTCCAAGCAATTACTTACATTTTATTTTTAAATTACTGAAAATGTAAGTTTTCTCCAATAATTATGTGTGAAATGCAATTCCACCCTGCTCTTTATTTTTTTTAGGATTGGTTTTTACAACCTTTTACTACACAATTCGGCAATTAGTAAGAAATTTTTGTTTTTTTTATAACGGAACGTTCCGCACACTGTCTATAGTTAGACTGATAAGGAAGGCGTAGTTTCGTTATGTATGTTTGCGTGAAACTGTGTACGAATACGCCGAGGCGTAGTTTTGTCAGCTTCACTTTTCTGTTAAGCAAAACTCCGTCCATACTTTTTATTTGGTCTGAGGTCATAACTATTTTCTTATAATATTGTCGCAAACTTGAAACTTCATATTTAACATAACAATATTGCAGCGACATTGTCACAAACTTGCCTCGTCATATTAGACGCAGCAAGAAAGAATAAATAAACTTGCCCCAAGTTAGCATGCTATCTGGATATAAGCTTCACCTTGTAATATAAATTTGATCAATCATATTTATTAGGGTCAATTAAAATTAAAATCAAATTACATTGCAGTATCCAAAATATTGAAAAGTTATTTTTTTAATTATATTCATATTAATTATAAATTTACAGACAATATCAATGGCCGACTTCACGAATCAATTTAATAACATCTATCTTATGGTCTTTTTCCATTTCAGAATTCTGTGATCTGCGATCTAACAAATAAGTATGCAGCGCAGTGGATTACTTTAACACAATTATTTGTAAAATAATTTTAATGTTATGAATTACCGCATATATAATTTCATTATCAGCCCTTTTACGTCCTCACGACAGGGGCTCAGGCCATCCTGAGCCATGGCATGGCCCTCTACATTGGTCGCGGGCTATGCCATGCAGATTAGAGGGTATCCACGACTTCAAATGCAGCCGGGACCAACCGAGGCAACTCGAGTGGTAACACCTCCCGCTACCGACCGACCCTTTTGAAAGTAGCTTAACAACAACGATCGTGGGAAGCGGCGTTTATCCACTACGCCACCGCCACTTCTTGCGGATTAAAATTGAAATGTTGGGTAACACCGTCTATGATAGTCTACGTAGATTTAAGGTCTCTGAAAGTCATACACACCTCGACTTTAATTATTCCGTGGAGTTCAATCAATTAAGATTGCATTGTAACAATTTAATTCCATTTAATATGACATTAATGCGATACACATCAAAGCGGCAACATTTGTGTGTGTTTCTTTAATTATTTAAAACGCTGTTTGAATAAATAATGGCATTATCTCCAATAAGGTTTACAAATCAGTGGCTTTCAGAGACATGAAAAACTTAAGTATTTTTTTTACTTTTAGGCCTCAGGTTTGAATCAACTAATGATTTGAGTTGGTTAGCTTTAATAACTGTGATAAAGCACAAGCCGTGCCTGCCATATTATACAAAAAAAAAAACGGTTAAAACGAATATTTCAATGTGATATGTATTTTTCATCTTTTTTAAACTTTATGTTATTATTTCAATAATTTCAGTATTACCGAAATAAATGAAGTATAGCAACATGTACATATTTTATTTCAGTAAAATAAACAAAACTAGAAATTGAAAAGGTTCTCTTCAATAGCTTTTTCAGACTCCCACACATCATTAGAATCAAATTCTTGTTTTAATCTTTTTGCCTTCTTTGCAGTGACTTCATTGTCGTTGTCATGTTTTCGTTTTTTTGCTTTTTTCATAGAAATATCACTCTCAATTTGAGGTTTCATGTCTGTACTAATATCCTTATCTTCATCTATGTTATGCTCATATTTGCGTTTCTTTCTCTTCTTTTTTTCAATTTGTGCAGTTTGGATAGATTCGTTAGCATTAAGTTCTTGTAACCTTTGAGTGATTGAACTGGGCAGTTTAAGTGCATTTTTATAATTGGATCCGAAAAGAGGATGGTGATATTTAGTTTCAGGTAAAGGTATGAAGTCAGTTTGGTTATTTACCATCACATTGTCTTCAACAATATGTGGTCTCGAAAGTCTTTTCTGAAGAGTGACAGTTCCATTTATATTTACATTCTTAATTATAAACCCTTTTTTATCAGGGGTCATCAGTGTTACACTTACAATATTTTCATTTAAAGTCCCATTATAAGTTTCACCAGATATTTTAATTTTACTTTTACTGTCTAATGTCAATTCCTTATTGCTAAAATCTACTATGCCCAAATTATGTGGGCATTTTACCAACCATAATTCATCATCTTCTGTTATCTTTTGATAACTTTTTGATTTTTCTGGGACCGGCTCAAAAAATGATTTTTCTTTTAGAAGGATCTTTTTTAAATGTGATGATTCTTTGTCAGTACTATTTTCAGATATGTCTAAATCTGTATCAGTTTCATCCTCAAATCTAATTCTCTCTATTATTTTTGATGTACTTTGTCTTTTTTTATTTAATAGTGTAATTGAAGTACTCTCACTTATAGCTTTATGATTGACCTTTTTTTCTAATGTACAATTAGTTGGTTCTCTGCGGTTTATACACAAGTCATTATTATTACTTTGATTATGAAAACTGTTTTCATGTAACTCATCATCTGACTTATAGTCTGTATTACTAATTTCATTATTTACAGTATTTTCATATTCATTCTCTTTATTAGGAGAATGTGGCTTTTGTACAACAGTTTCTTCAGCACAAAATTTATCTTCTATGTCAAAGTTTTCATCATTACTCTCATCAGTTTTTATTTCAACTTTACATTTACTCTTATGTTTCTTAGAACTTGAATCGTTCTTTTGATCATCTGACAAAGTAATATCTGCATCAAGATATTTGTGTCTTTTTTTTTTCTTCTTTTCCTTTTTGTCACCACTGTTATTCAATGTAGAATCTACTTTATTTGAAGTAATATTCAAGTCATTCTCATTGAATTTACTACTCTTCACCTTTAAAACTAGTGATTTGTTGTTCTCATCCTCTTCTTGCTTGACTTTCCTGTTTAAAAAATCATAGTCATCAACAAAATTATGTTTATTCCCTTTATAAGGAGAATGTGGCTTTTGTACAACTGTTTCTTCAGCACAAAATTTATCTTCTATATTAAAGTGATCATTATTACTCTCATCTGACTTTACTTCTACTTTATATTTACTTTTTCGTTTCTTAGGGCTTGTATCAATCTTATGATCATCTGACAAAGGAACATCTGTGTCTAGGATTTTGTGTTTATTTTTTTTCTTCTTTTCTTTTTTGATACCACTGTTGTTTAATGTTGAATGTAGTTCATCTGAGGGAATATTACAGTCATCCTCACTGAATTTTCTACTTTTTACCTTAAAATCTATTGATTTGTTGTTCTCGTCTTCTTCTTGCTTGACTTTTTTGTTTAAAAATTCATAGTCATTAAGAACATTGTCTTCTAAATTATCACTTATACTATATTTATCCTTTTTTTTCTTTTTCTTTTTACTTATGTACATATCTTCATTTTCTACTGGTTTCATTTGTAGTTTCTTTGGACTATCCATTGAGTTTTCAATATAGTGTATTGAATCTGCATTACTGCTTTTTGATATATCTTCATTGTTTTCCTTTTCCATATTTTGATTATTGGGCAAACTCACATAAGAATCCCTGAAACAACAAAAAGAGTGATTGTTTTAGTGAAATATTTTAAAATTTCAATTGATTAAAAATTTTAATCTTAATCTGCTTAAACCTCAACAGACAATGAAGATGCTATAATATTTTATCTGAAGATAACATATTTTAACATCTTCTATTTAGAAACTCTGATTTATAAATATAGTAACTGCTGACCCAGCAAACTTTGTACTGCCATATTTTATTTTGCTTGGACTGGGGAAGCATAATGCTTCTGGTGAAATCAAATTAGTTAGATTAACAATAATTTCACAATATATTGACTTGTTTAATGTTATGACCGTTTTTTTTTTATTTACACCATAAATATACCTACTTATCAAGCCTCAGCCGTTTCATTTTCTACCAACACCTAAGAACCAAATCACAAAACCATATCTTAATGAAATGTATATATATAAATCAATATTTTGAAAAAAAAAGGAAAACCAGCCAGTTCTTCTCGGTACAAAGTCTCCTTCCGTGGAATTAAGAACTGATGGCACAGAGTTTTGACTTTCAAGTACATGTGACAGCCTAGACTGAATTGATAATTATATATTTATGAAATTATTACCAGATACGTTATTAATTAATGACAAAGTTGCCTGTTTGTGAAAATAGACAATCTGGCAAATGTCAGTCTTCTATCACATACAGTCAATCACTGTTTGTGTTAGATTGTAAAAATTTGTTTTGATAATATCTATATAGTTATTATTTTCTTTTTATAATTTGTCATGAGATAAACTTTGTCCAGACAATAAAGAACATAAAGAAAAAATCATTCAATTTGGTGCAGTCATTCGGAAATTATAGGCATACATACATTTTGGCGATTTATTTAGTTTATCTTTATTGCAACGCAGCAAAGGGTGGACTTAATCTCGTACGGCATTCTCTGCCAGTAGACCAGTATGGGTGTCACATGAATAAAAGGGGTGTTACAAAAAAGAGTATTTAAGAGAAAAAAACCTAAGTGACAGAATAATACATAATAATATTTAAAATATTAATAAATATATTGCTATATATAAGACAACTACATATACATGAAATTACAATATTTGTGAAGAAAAAAACTATATTTTAAAATACTATCTTAACCTACAAAATATATATTTACATAATACTTGGCATCTTAATATGCTAAATGTGAAAAGTTTAAATAATCATGTCAAACATGCAGCCCTGTGTGTTTGGGCATTGTATGGTATGGTATATATAGTCAATGTATGGTAACATTTTATTGTAAGATATAATAATATAGCATCTTTACAGTGTGTTATGATCTTAATTAGTAGTGAAATATACATTTCTATAAAAAAAACTTGGGAATTACACTTAAGATTAGCTAAGTATATGCTTTCTGTTTTAATTGTTTTGGGCCAATGGTTATAAAACAGTGGTCCCTGGAAGCTTCTCAAGTAGTCTGTGGAGTGTAATCTAAATATTAACTGAGTGGGTCCAGGATTTTTTGTAACTGAGAAATAAAACATGCTAGCACCCCATGAAACATAGACAATTGTCCATAATGACTAAAGGGTTAAGAGCAACTGTTTAAGATTGTACGAATGATACCAAATAATTGTTAATTGTAATATGTGTGTTAACTCGATTACTTTTTAAATACATGTTTGTTTGCTTCATTGTAGTTAATAACTCTATACGTTCCAGAGACAAGTGTGAATTATATTATAGAATGGTAAGCACTAGCGAACAACATATACATACATGCTCCCACTGTCACTGCTATTGGAAGCAGGTGCCCAGGTAAAACTCTTAGTTGAGGATGAATTATCCGAATCGTAATTCATATGTATTTTCATTTATAAAATTCGTAAACACAAATCATTCAAATTAAGAAATGAATGAATTTTCACCATGGCATTAAGTCACAATAGTTAATAACTACAATATTTTTTCAATTCTAAAATCGCATACTCCAAGAGGACTCCAAGAGGTTATTTCCATCACAGACCCAACTAGAATATAGACAGACAGAACACATTTAAGGTTATAGCACAGATTATCACTACATATGTTAAATTTAAAGGGACGCTGAATGTTGAAATATTAGAAAAAAACCACCATTTCTTTCGAACTGACATCAAAGAAGAAGAAAACGTCAGAAATTTATTTTTCTATAATCCTCTTTAAAAAGTTTTATACTAATTCACAACAACATAGTATAAAACAAAGTTGCTTTCTCTGTCCCTATATCTCTATGTATGCTTAAATCTTTAAAACAACGCAACGGATTTTGATGCGATTTTTCGTAGATAGGGTGATTCAAAAGGATTTTTTTTATGTATAATACAAGGCGAAGCCGCTGGCGGAAAGCTAGTTAATGATATATCACAAACTACATTAATAATATAATAATAATAATATTTATTTTTACACACAGCCAAAATACAAGAAAGTTAATTAAAAATAAATACTTAAAATTAAACATTTTAATTTAATGGCTAACGAATTTTATAAATAGATTAGCGTCTGTAGCCGAGCTAGTTTATTACTGTATTTCGGCTTACAGCGCCCTCCCAGCATTGTCTATATCATCAATGTTAAAAGATTATGGTAGTTAAATTAATTGGAAATTTGATAAAACAATTAGATAATACATAAAAAAAACAATATATACAATTAAATTAAATCAAATCAAATTAAATTAAATGACCTTAAAATAAATGAATTTGGTTAGTTAATGAACATCCTCGTATTATTACTGTACTCTTTGTGAACATCTCAAGGATAGTAGTGAGGGAGTATTTAATAAAATAGGAAGTATTTAAAAAAAAACTAAAGCAATAAAAAGTCATATACATAGAAAAATAAGAATTGTAAATTGTTAAAGTTATAATAGACCTATAGTGCCTATAAAATGTAACAATAATATAATATGAGCTCCTATGGTTGTCAAATTCAAACGTTACAATTTTGTTTCATAAATTTGAGAGTATAACAGCATTAGGAGGACATTACCATATATTAAAATATGCAATGTTAATACTTACGTACTTAAGTTATTTCGGGAACTAATGTTTTTTCTTTAATACTTCCTCATAAAGAAACTACAAAAACATTACATCACTAGATGGCATCTCAATTTGTAGGATCTAAATGTCAATGAGGAAGTAAGTATTTAAAAAAATAAAGAAACTACAAAAATTTATTTCACTAGATGGCAGCACAAATTGTAGGATCTAATTCAAATCTAATTATCAATCAAGAGAAATCAAGAACGTACCGTAGTGACATCTAGTTTGATTTTGAGAACTAATGTTTTTTTTTAATACTTCTTCATTCATTGAGGGTAGAGGGGTAGAGTTGCAGAAAGAACAATGGCCATCTGCCTAACATGCTTGGACTAGTAAAATCGAATAAAACGTAACTTGATGAAACATATGTTATTTTGTTCGCCTATGCAACTAGAACAAAGAATGACATTAAATATATTTTTAAAAGCTGGGAGTATCGTGTAATTGTGTAATATGTTTTTGAGGTTATGTCGTATTATTTAAACGGTAGCATTTTGAGTTAGAGGTATTACAGTTGAAATATGTAAAGCACTTTAGATAATGCCTAATCGTAATCCTAGAAGTGCATACTTTATATTTTTTTTTTATATGATATATTATTTTTATAGACTGTAAGAAATAAAATCATTTTTTGTGAACCAATGAACATCAAAGAAAATTATAGAATTTTTAAGATTGCTCTCAATATCTCTACTTTTCTATCTTACACTATAACTTATATAAAGTAATAGTGAAAATACTAATTTCAAAAGGATATAGCAAAACAACATGTTGATTTTTCTTTTCTTTATTACAACTCTAATGAATACCTCATCACGGAATGCTGCAGGAGAAACTACATTTTGTTCGTGTCTGGCCCATCCAAGATACCAAACTATGGTCATTATATGAGCACAGCATCCCAGTGTACATCGACCAATAAGACAATTACAGCAGTGTTCTCTTATGTAATCTAACCCGGATGTGTCATTATTTTTTAAAATGTACACTTAATATTGTTTCCTCGCAATGTCTCGACTTAATTCTACCCTTTATAATTAGGACTTTATTTATATTTAAGTCTAATTCTAATAAATCCAGAGAATCCGGTATTTCTCTCATCCGGTATACTACCCATGGAACCTAGTTTACTCCCCATAATACAGAAGATAATACAAAATCACCGCCAAAGTTACAAAACGGTCTGCGTAGAAACGCGTCTACACATACTTGTCTAAAAAAGGGAGGTCGCAATCGATTGAATACTGTAATATCGATTCTTATGAATAATCATTTGTTTTTAATTTCATTATAAATAAACTATTTTCCTCTTAATATAATATAATTTTCACGGATTTATCTGGTTAGTAAATAATATAAGATTTGAATCAAATTCGATTAGTCAGAAATAAAATCGATCTTGTTCTTTGAAAAGAGAGGGACTCAAAGAGTAATGTAATATAAAAAGGGAGGTACTTCTCTGGGAATGACAATATTAATAAGATGCGTTCAAAAATAACATAATTTAAACTGCGTTCTAAAAAATAAAGACATATTTTAGAGAGGTTTATCTTTCTTTTCCCAGCTTTTAAAAATATATTGTTGGTATATAATAATTACATTCAACTTATACTACATTTTGGTTATAGTTCCATCTTGGTACAAGAACTTTTTTCGCAGTCCATTTTGACCATTGTTCTTTGACATATTGTGGTATAGGTATATGGATGCGTAAGGCAGTAATACTGAGTCAGAGTAGATACTGACTTTTAGTATATACTAAGTAATTACTGTATTTGATATTTGATTGTACTTTACACACACAATGAAAACTTATTAGTGGATATTTTTGTGACTTATTAAAGGTGCTTGTTCATGTTTGTGTAAAGTTCAGATAACGGCACGTTAGGACTAACGGACAATGTTTCCAAGCCAGTGATACAAGAAATAAAAATATTTGCCTCACTAACGGCTGTATGGGTTAATCTCCCTTCGCCTTTAAAGAAAAAAAATCTACAAAAAAAGTACCCTGACAAACTGACTTACAAGTAGAATGACAGTGACGTTTCTTTCTTACTAAAATCTGTGTCCAACATGGTGAGTTATGTTGATAGGTTTCGATAAATCCAAAAAAATCTCAAAGATAAATTAATATTTTCAAATTATAATCACGTTTTTCTATATCTGGTTAACCACAAAATGTATTTTATCAAGGATTTTTCATAAAATTAGTTTTGTTACTTTGTAAATAATACCACTCACTTATTAAAACAGTACTACGATTGTTTTAATGATAACTTAAGAATTGAGAACAAATATACAATAATTATATTCTACACGGCTGTTTCTGAATCACCGTATAGTAATCCTGAAAGTGATTTGAGGTTAAGCAATTCTATAATAAATTCTAGGCTCGAGGTCCCAAGAAGCATTTGAAGCGTTTAAACGCTCCGAAAGCATGGATGTTGGACAAATTAGGAGGTGTGTATGCACCACGGCCGTCTACCGGTCCTCACAAGCTGCGAGAGTGTTTGCCGCTAGTGATTTTTTTGAGAAACCGGCTCAAGTATGCGCTCACCGGTAACGAAGTGCTCAAGATCGTGAAGCAGCGTCTTATCAAAGTCGATGGGAAAGTCAGGACAGACCCCACATATCCAGCTGGTTTTATGGGTAAGCTTTATTGAGTTTATTGAAAAATCATGTGCTTTTAAAGTAATGGAATGTTCGTATTGTTTAGGAATGTTTTTTTGTTCCTGCTTAAATTTATACCATCTTAAATTGAAGTTCTTTAAATATTAAGCCTTTATTCAGAGAAGCATTCGATTCACAATGCAAATATACTTTTAATTGATACAATTTCATTCTTACATTACTGATAGCTAGTGGGGATGAGGACTGTAAATAAAGACTAATGGATGTATAATAATAATGAATCACAAATCACAGCAAGTCAAGCAAATAAAAAATATATCCGACTTGAGCGAAAACAAAGAGTAATAAAAAAGAACAAAATATAAATATGATATAAACTAATCAAAAAGGAAAAGGATGGTGCTTTCCAGCCAGATGCCTACAATTACACAGATATCTTGTTTAGTCCACATTATTTAATGAATGCTGATATATGTATTGAATTATTTATTTATGTCAATGTTAGATTTTGTTTGTCAATATTTAATAAGTTGTTATGTCTGTTATCTATGTTTGTCTTTTAGCATAGGTGTCCCCCAATATTTCCCATTATTTGATGTCAATCTAGTCCACGTCACTCTTGCAGTTTTTGCTGCCTCCCTCTCCTCCTTTTTCTATCTCTGGGTATACAATTTAGTATAGTTTTGCTGCACTTTTCTGCACCTCTTATAACATTACCTGCCCATCCCCACTTTCTTTTATTACCTTTTCAGTGACATCTATCAGTTTGGTCTTGGCTCTTATTGTATTCTTATAATATATAGTAATAATAAAACAAAATAATTTTAAGAAGTGGCTATATGTGTTTGTTATTGTGTGTCTGATTGTTATATTTATTTTTAGATGTTGTATCTATTGAAAAGACCAATGAATTGTTCCGGCTCATATATGATGTCAAAGGGAGGTTTACAATTCATCGTATTACTCCTGAGGAAGCTAAAGTGAGTGAATAATTATCATTTGTAGTAAATTTTTTTTTAAAGTACTTTTTGTGTTTTAAAATCAAATAATGGATATTTTTGATATAATTGACGATATGACAATAGAGAAAGAAGCCATAACAATGAATATGTTGATTTTATTTTATTTTGGTTCAGCAACAGAACGCAAATTAGATGCTTTAAATTAATTTCATGCTAATTTGCCTTCCTATTACTGTTGTACAGGTCACTTAAATAGTACACGTATCAACACTCATCATTTCTTTGTTAGTGATTACATCCTTCTTTTTTCTATTATTTATTTGTTCCTCTTTCTTTTGCTCTCAAGTATTTGGACTTCATCATTTTAAAAAGTCACAGAATGCTCCCACTTTACGGTACAATAATAATAATTAATGATAACACAAAATCATTAGATAAAAATACCTCAACAACCAAATAATCTTCATAATAGTAAACAATGTCAGAAATTAAAGAAATAGTTGTCTCTCTTCTAATATGTGTTTATTCTATGTATTTCTTTCATCTTCATGAATTTCAAGAAAACTGCTAGTTTAATAGATAAGCTTATTTGTCAGATAGCTAACCAAAGAGTAAATATCAATTGAATAATTGATAACTATTTAACTGATGAATAAAGAGCCCAATAATTTTATTCATCATTTAGCTATCACTATTATCTGAGGAGAGGATAGAAAAATTGACCCTAATTATAGTTAAGGAATGAGGTAATTTATTATAAATTATTAAACAACTGGGACAACGGTTCCTTTTAAACAGCATTCGTATGGCATAGGGTGGACATAGTAACATTATAATGTTGTGTGGGCGCAGTACAAGCTGTGCAAGGTGAAGCGCGTGGCGACGGGGCCCAAGAACGTGCCGTACCTGGTGACGCACGACGGCCGCACCGTGCGCTACCCGGACCCGCTCATCAAGGTCAACGACTCCATACAGCTCGATATCGCCACCACCAAGATCATGGACTTCATCAAGTTCGAGTCAGGTACATCTATACATCACTCGGTCATCAATGGCGGAATGATAACCTGGTCAACTGACATGCCAGTCCTTCGGTTGGGAGGGGAAGTGGATCTTTTTCCGATCCTTCGATCAATATGTTGGGGAGGAGGAGCAGGATTTTTTTTCTGGACCTCCAATTGAATAAATTTTTGTTTATCACTCGATTCGTTTTACCGAAAGTACAGCGAAGGCCGATGTTGGAAGTTAATTAGTTAGGGAGTCGTAAAAACAAAATTCATTCAATCGGAAATCCAGGAAAAAGTATTCCCGAAATTCCCTATCTAATTAGGCTCAATAAAGACCGCGGGAAGCGACTATAGAACTATGCAGGCCGTGATGAATTTGAACTGTGATCAATAAATCTGTCTGTTGTTTTTGCCTTTTATACTGCATTTATTTCCTGTCAGCACTTGAGATGCGTTTCTGTTGGAGCATACCGCGTCTCGGTCGCTGTGTTAATGTGTGTTGTGTGTTGTGTGCGCAGGCAACCTGTGCATGATCACTGGCGGGCGTAACTTGGGGCGCGTGGGCACGATCGTGTCCCGCGAGCGGCACCCCGGCTCCTTCGACATCGTGCACATCCGCGACACCACCGGACACACCTTCGCCACCAGGTCCTGACTATTATCTAAGCCATTTCTTGTTTATATTGACGGTCAAAATAGTTGTTTTTATTTATTTATTTCCCTTCCGTGTCGTCACACACTTATCTGAACAAAACTATATTAATTAAAAAATGTACACGAATGATTCATTTGATAATACTAACATATAATTGTATTGGCAGATTGAACAACGTGTTCATAATCGGCAAGGGCACGAAGGCGTACATCTCGCTGCCGCGCGGCAAGGGCGTGCGCCTCACCATCGCGGAGGAGCGCGACAAGCGCATCGCCGCCAAGGTCCAGGGCCAGTAGGATAAGACGCTAATAAAATGTTAAAACCCAACTCGTAGTTTCATTTGTTTGCCTACAATATTATTCACCGAACGCTAACTAGCAGGGACACCGTTACAAAAACGGTTTTAGGGGAGTCATTTTTTTAAGATAAATACTATGTGCAATATGCACAAGAGAGGAATGAAAATCATGAAATTTAATGCTGCATAGAAATCTTTGTTTATAAAAAAATATTTAGTTTAATCATAAATTTAAAATAGGTATATAATCCTGTAAAACTGTCATTACGACAAGGTATTGAAATTATTTTCTTGATCCATCTAGTCTTTTATTTATCAGTCCATCGCGAAATAGAGAAATGGCCAAGTTAAGTTTTTTTTGTAAACCATGAAGGTTTGTGCCAATGCTGTAAGTACCTAGTTTCGGAGATAATGAGTTTAGCGCTGCTGGACCTTCCTCTTGAGCTTAAATTTACTTTTTATTTGTTCCTACTTATTATATTAGATCTTAAAAAACTTTCTTGGTCATCTTTTAGTCCCTTAGTGACGGCACATGGTGACGATAAATTGCTAATACTTTTGTAGATAATTGAGAAATAATGTGGCGCTGTTGAGCCGATGTCAATCTGGCAGCGCCGTCATATATCTTTATTCATTTACTAGCTTTCAGCCAGAGGCTTCGCATGAAATGAATCGCCCTATTTATGAAAAAAAACCGCATCAAATCCGTTGCGCAGTTCTAAAGATTTAAACATACATAAGGGATAGGGACAGAGAAAGCGACTTGTTTTGTACTATGTGGTGATTTATTAAGGATAACACTAGCTTTTATGTTTTGTTTAAACATTGTCTTATTTATTTCTTAAGTCACTTGTAGTTAGTAAGCCACACCCACAATAAGGAAGTATTTTAAGAAAAAAAAAGAAAGCACTTCAGTAGGTGGTGCCTCTACCAAAAGTAGATTTTTGCAGGAAATGAATAGACCAAAGATAATCATTTCAGTTCCTTTTAACTAACATATTAAAAATTGAAATAGAAAAAGTACAAATAAAATATGAGTTGCTTATTGAAGATAGTACCGTAGCGACATCTAGTTTGATTTCGGGAACTAATATTTCTTTTTTAAATACTTCCTCATTACATTCAATTGTGGTAGTGAACAAACCAACTTTCTTTGTTTTGAATCAAAAAGTTTTAGGAATAAGATCATTGATAACAAGTGTTATTGTAAAAAAAAAGAACATATTTATTAACAGAAATATGATATGTCATTGTAAAACATTGTACAACGGTTAATCTAAACCATGGACGAATAAGACTAAACTAAACTAAGTTTTAATACATTGAGTTGAGAAATTATAGAACAGTGATATTTTCCCCCACTGCAGAAGTTCAGGCCTTTCATATGTATAGTTAAGGAGAATGAGTAATTAAGAAGGATGAGGATGGGTCGTGGAGGTTCCACGATGGCTCATTGAAGACTGCAAATCCAGTCGGGTCTTCCTACTGTGGTTTAGTATCTGTTCAATAACGTACAATTATTAATTTATATTTACCGCTGATAATGCAAGCTAATAATGTAAGTATATACATATTGATACCTACTGAAGTCAGTTGTAATTTATAACTGCGTCTGGCCGCCATTTTGGTGACATAATTGCATACACAAAAATCAGTACCGTTAACAAATAAACACTGGTTGAGGAGTACACTTATTGAGCTGTGTTGTGTTGAGATCACACATCATTTTCATAATGTTTGTTTCGATTGTTATTGTTAAGTTTTGTTGTTACTTGTTACGGTTGACTAAAATATCAACTGTTATTATGATTTTCACAATAAGTAAACATAATTTCACTAAAAATAGATATATCTAATGTCTCTCGTTTCATTATTACTTTCGATTATGTTTAAAATAAAATGTCCTTTCATTTTGTTTTCCCGTTATTACAAAGAAAATTTGTTTATTTTTTTAATTTCAATTTTATTTTCATCCACTATAAAAATATTCTTTTCCAAAAACACATGGAATAAATTAACGAAGTAAAAGTTACTAAATTATTTAAACAATTATTTAGAGATTATTCATAAATAATTTAATTCTTGCCTTTTGTGCTATCTATACTTACTTAAATAAACTTAACTATTTACACAGTGCATTGTTTAACTTTTACTATTTGCAACTTTTCAAAACTTCTACCAACAACTACGCTCTTCAAAACCCGAATATGAAAGTGGTCCTTCGAGCTGGATATTAATAAACATATTTCTTTTTATCAATTTTATATATTAATATATAACATGATATTTATTTTAATATTCTAATATGGTTAAAGAACATATATTATCCGTAAACAAATTGTAGCCGGCGGTTGATGACATAATTTTGGCAGTATATTGCCAAAATTGTGATCAAACCTAGAATCGGAATAACCACGGATCCAAGTTAAATGTCAAATTTTCCTGATGGTAAAATCATAGCGAACACACACTTATAACCGCAATTCGGTAAAACACTTTGTAGTCGTAGAGATCACGATGCGTCACTTCACGGTTTCCTAAAGCGGCGAATACTCTCAGGTCGTCAAAAGTTTCGATGTTTTATGAGCTCGTGCTAAAACGACTCGATAGTTTAAAAGTGCTTCAAAATGAGCATCAGGGAGGTCAGGGCGGTCAGGGCGCACAGAGAGGGTGCGCGTGCGCATGCGCGTGCGCGTGTCGGGCGCGGTGGTGGCGCTCGAGGTCGCGGCGGCGCGCCAGGCGGGCGCCGCATAGTGCGCACGCGAGGCCCGCGGGGTGGGGGCGGGCGGGGGAGGGCGCGTGCAGGCGCACGTGCTTGTTGAGGTTGCTGGGGTCGCCGAAGGCGCGCGCGCAGTACCGGCACCGCAGCGGCTTGTACCCGGTGTGCGTGCGGATGTGGATCTTGAGCCCGTACTTGCGCGAGTACAGTTTGCCGCAGTACACGCACGCGTGCCCGCCCCGGGACTTGCCCCACTCCGCCGCCAGCGCCTGTGCACGTTAGCAATGCAAACGGGTGGGCTTAAGTGGGCTTTTTTTGTAGGTTTATTACTTAAATAATAGCCGCCCGACTTCAATATCCGTCTCTTATATAAGTGAGTTGCTTTTAAGATAAGTATAAAATGCCCAATTTTTAAAATTTTGAAGTTAGTTCTATTTTTTTTAAATGAATTGGTTCACAATTAATGGAAAATACACATTTTGTTTTTCGCTGATATAAATATGTTATCTACGTATTTTCATGATATTTCATGAGAAGTATATTTTGTTTTCTTAATGACTGTAGGAGCGAGCTCCGACATTTGAACCAGTGACAATTAAACAATTGATCGCAACACCCGTGTCATTCTTTTTACCTTACTAATAAACTTTTAATAACATTCATAACAATATTGTAGGGTCGTGGATTCTACATATGGTCCTTCGACATACTTAGTGTGATGAAATGAAATGAAATGAAAATGAAATGAAAATATCTTTATTCAAGTAGGCTATTACAAGCACTTTTGAATCGTCCAAAAAACTTTTTTCCCCTACCACTTGTTCAGGACGTCTTTTAGCTGACAAGAAGAACAAGCGAAAGAAACTTATCAGCTTTTTATCATAAGTAATGACATTTACATAAATCATGTCATTACCAAAATAATATGTATTATCAATTTATCACAATAGTAAATACAACTTTCAAAGTCTGTAGGACATAAGTTGAACATATAATTAGTCTTTATAGAACAAAGCGAAGGCTATTAATTCCATGCATTGCGATCCTTAAAATAATCATCAACTTTATAATAGCCTTTACTCACAAGTATATTCTTTACATGAATTTGAAATTTATTTATGGGTAGGTCAATTACATTTTGTGGAACTTTATTGAACATAGCAATACATTTACCCAGAAATGATCCTCTGGTTTTTTGAAGTCTGAAGCTTGGAACGGCAAGTTTATCTTTATTTCTTGTGTTAAGATTATGAACACTACTTTTTTTTGTGAAGGAATCGTAATGTTTTCTTGTGTACATAATATTCTCATAGATGTATTGAGAGGCAACAGTCAGAATATTTATTTCTTTAAATATTTCTCTGAGAGATTCCCTAGACCGTAAATTATATATAGCACGGACAGCTCTCTTTTGTAAAATAAAAACATCCTGAATGCTAGCCGCAGAACCCCATAACAATATACCATACGTCATTACACTATGAAAATAACTAAAATATACCAATCTTGCCGTTTCAACATTTGTCAAGACTCTAATTTTCTTAACAGCAAAAGCTGCAGAACTCAGTCTACTTGACAATCTATCAATATGAGGATCCCATTGCAGTCGGGAATCTAGTGTAATACCAAGGAACTTTGTCGATTCTACTAACTCAACTTTTTCACTATTTACATTTATAAGTGTACTGACATGCCTCACATTAGGTAATGCAAACTTTATGCATTTCGTTTTATTTGAATTGAGCTTTAAATTATTATTATCAAACCACTGTAGAACGTTGTCGAGAGCATTATTTACATCGTCAAAACAATCATTACCCCTCTCAACTTTAAACAGTAAAGAGGTGTCATCTGCAAATAATACTGTCTCGCACAAATTCTTCGTAAAGTGAGGAAGATCATTTATATAAATTAGAAAAAGCAATGGTCCTAATATCGATCCCTGAGGTACGCCCAAAGTAACTGGTGCCCCTGCAGATTTCGCTTCATTGATTACTACCTTTTGAATTCTAGCGGAAAGATATGATCTTATTAGATGAAGTGAATTTTTCGTCACACCATAATGTTCTAATTTCCCCAACAGTGTTTCATGACTAACGCAGTCGAATGCTTTTGATAGATCACAAAAAATGCCAATAGCATCTTGTTTATTCTCCCAAGCATCATAGATATGCCTCAGAAGTGCAATTCCAGCGTCTGTTGTACATTTACCTCTGCTAAAGCCAAACTGATTTTGGTGAAGTAATTTATTTAATGAAAAGTGTGCAAGCAGTTGATTGTACATCATTTTCTCAAATACTTTACTTAACG